CCGGTGGGGCCCACACCGATTCTGCGAGTTGTGGTTGGTCAAGTGTGAGGAATGGGCAAGAGAGACTCCAGAGAAGGACCTCCAATTCACACCTCAGCTCTGCTGAGGGCCCCTAGTTGACCCGCCTCAGACAAGCCAATCTTGGCCCTCTGTTCCCATCACTATGAAAATGCCCGTGTGCTGGGCACCGAGATCACACTAACAAATGCTAATTATCTCCTCTAGAACTTTCTTTTCTGGGGCTGGCCCTGGAGCCCTACCTGGTCCACCCATCAGAGCAAAGAACGGCAGGAAAGGCTAAGGGTGTCCCTCTCTACCAGCCCAGAGTCAGATTGAATACCTCCAGCAGTGGTCCCAAGGGAGGTGGCACGCAACAGGCCCAGCTTGTCCTTCTGAGCAGCTGTGGTAACGTGACCAGCTCTCCTAACTCACTCGCTGAACGCTCACACCACCAAGCAGCTTACAGCCTGTTGGTTACTTCTTGACAGAAGAGTGAACCGAGGCCCAGAGAGATTAAGTAGTATCCCCGGGTCACACAGCACAAAGGCAGAGCCTGCCTTGGCCAGAGTGACCGTCCTGCTGGCTCGAGGGCACTTGGGGGAATACAAGGCGGCAAAAGACCGGTTGTTTCTGCTTCAGTGCAGCTCCAGCTGTGCAGGGCTGAGTACCACCTGTCTCTATGAATCCGCCGTACCCAGCAAGGGTGGCATGGGTTGGGCCAGGATGCAGCCCTGTAGGAGAAGCACAGGCCATGGATGGACACAGCCTCCTCCTCCAGGCAGCCTCACAGCCCTGCCCCTTCCTGGTACCACTAGGGAGCTGACTTTGAATTGCTGGGACTGGGAAGGGGTGGTCCCATCTCCCCCCACACCCCTCACTGCTGCTTCTCAGAGGTTCGTCCTCCTGTCCAGGCCTGGACTCTTCGCCCCCTCGTTTCCCACAGATGGGTCTGGGTCAGGGTGTGCTCCCTGCAGGCAGCCAAAGAGCCTCCCCATGCCAACACAAGCATGGCAGACCCCAGGGTCCCTCAGAACAGGTTCCCCCCACAGAGCTACCAGCAGACACGGATCCTCACCATCTCTCAGGTCCAGAGACTAAGGTCCAGAGAGGAAGAGGGGCTTTCCTGGGTCACGCAGCAGGTCTGGGCAGCGGCAGGGCTGCCAGACCAGTGGGTGTGGGGAGGGGGCAGCATCCCTGGTGGACATGTAGGACAGGGCTGGACCAGAACCAAGTTCTGACTTTGAAGAACAAAAACGTGCTTCAAGTCACAGCATGGGGGCGCTGGCTCTGTTTTCCCAAAACACAGATGGAAGGGGGTCAAGACGAAGGAATGTGGGGTGCTACTAGCCTTGTCTCAGAGTTCTGCTGAACCAGCAGCCCTGTCCAGCTGGGGCAGGAGGGGGGTTCAGCTTCATCCAAGAACAGAGCCCCCTGCAGCCTTAGCCCCAGAGGTCCTCAGGATTAGACATTCTGGGTGTCTGTGGGGAAGGACACCCCACCCTGGGCAGAGGGACCTGAAGCTCTGGCTACCCTGTACCCCATTGCCTCATTCAGTGCCCAAGCATAGAAATCAGTCAGTCCATAGGGGTGCCTTCCTGGGGCCTGGGCAGTGCCCACTTGCTGCAGATGGGCGGGAAAGAGGGGTTCTGAGCTGAGGGCCAGAAGCAGAGGAGTAAGTGAGGAGTGGGTTGTGGGGTGCTTGAAGGTGCATGGGCTTAGAACAACCCTCCCCCCTCACACCCCTGCCAGTCATCTTCTTCATTTTCTCAAAGGGATCTCCCCCAGTGTTCATGTGGGTGGAGGTCAGAAACAGGAGTGGAAGGGGTGGGGGGAATGAGCGGATACCAGACCACCATTTCTCATCCTCAGGCCCCACATGCCCCAACCTCCAAACATCCTTTCTTCATTTGGTTCTGGCCTGGGGAGACTGGGCCCCAGAGTGACACCCCCCAAATCCCCAGCCTCATGTGGGAACAAGGACGTGACCTTCCAGCTTCAGTGACTGATAGCAATACAAGCCGAACCAGGGGTCCAGCCCCACAGCAAGCCCCAGTTTGTGTTCCCAAATCCCCGCTGGACAAAACTCAGGGAAGGGCCGGGGATGGTCCATGGGGGACAAAGGCTCTGTCTGTCTCTGTCCAGCTGCCCCTCTGGAAGCCTGGGGGTGAGAGGCAGTGAGTGACCCCCATTTCATTGATCATTCTTTTCCACCCAAACCTTACTTCCTCCGAAGTCCAGGTAGCTCTTTACCTGGGCATCGCCACAGCCCTGTGGGTGTCCACTGGTGAGGACACAGGGCCTGCCCATGTCTTCCTCCACCCCCCGAGAGTTCCCTCCGCCAGGAGTGTACCCCCTTACACACACACATACACACAGTCCCCAGGCCCATTAGGAACCAACTCAGCTGGGGGGGGTGGAAAGGGAGCCACAAAAGTGAGGATTTGGCGCCCTCTGCTGCTGCATTTAAGGATGTCTGTTCAAACTAAATCCACCCAGCAAAACCACTGCTCGGAAGGGGCAGCCCTACGTGGGTGTCGAAGGCTGCACATTGGTGTCCACAACCTGACTGGACACAGACATGCCTCTGGTACTGCCAGCCATCTCTCTGGGACCCCCTGCACTGGGTGGGTGGGAGGCTGCCCCCCTGGGCCTGGGTCCTCCCTGGGCACCATAGCCTCTGTGCCCCCTAGGGTCTGCTCAGGACTGGAGACCAGCAAGAACTGGTCAATATTTACTGCTGATAGCATCACCGAAAAGACAAACAAATTATGCCAATGGCTGGCAGACATGCCAGTTCACAGTGCCAGCTCGGATGTTGGGTGCAATCAGGGAGGCCAGCGTGGAGGCAGCTGTACCCATGGTAGATCTTCTTGGGGTGGGAGCAGGGACAGACACCTTGTATCAGGGACAGACCAGCTCTGGGCCCATCTCTCCACCAGGAGCAGGGGTGCCAGACCCCACACTCCACACGCAAGGTATGGGACAAAGAGGTGGGTGTGTATAGGTTCATGTGCAGGGCCAGCATCCCCCAGACCCCACGGGGTGCTGTCCACATCTGTGAGGGGTGCTGGGAAGCATTCAGACCCTCCTCACACCAGGCTCAGATACAGGTGTGGTGCGGCCAGAGGTCAGGATAGCCAGGCTCCAAGGGGAGCAGGGTCTAAGGGTATAAGTCCGGTCTGCCCAATTCCCAGAGGGGTCAGGCAAGGTAGGACAAGGCCAGCCTGGTGAGTGGGGTGGCCCTGGGGGGCTCAAGAAGCCACCCTAACCCCCTGCTACCTGTACTGACCACAAGAGACGTCCCCTCAAGCCCTGGACTACAGGGGTCAGCACCTACAATGGTCTAATCAGTCTCCTTTACCCTTGAACCTTTGACCTTGGACTGCCCCCTGTCCCCTTCTCCCGTGTTCTCATCCTTGTGGTGGGATGGAGAGACCACCCGAGTCCCTGATTCCCACCCCAGGAGGATCTTTTTGAGGGGGATCTTCTGGACAAGGATAGGTCTTGCAGTGGGGGTCAGCTTCGCTGAGTCTATTTTTGGGTGGACAGAACACCCCATCACTGGAGGGGCTGTGAGGTCCCAGGAAGCTTGGTCCTTCCAAGGGGGGTGCTCACATGCCCCGAGTCCACTCAGAGCCTGCAGGCCTGAGATGGACCCCAAATACCTCTGCGCCCTCAAATATGTCTGATCCTCAGACCCCCAAGGGTCTTCTAGCTGGATAGGACTTGCTTTACCAATTGCCCCTGAGGGCAGCCCAATGGGCTGGCAGGCTCCCTGTCCCTGGCTCGGTCATGTCACATACCTCAGCACCTAAGGGACACCAGGGTCTCCACTGAGCAGATGGGGCGGTGTGGGTTCCCCTGGGCTGTCGACTTCAGATCTGGCCACCTCTCTCCTCCTCTTCCGGGTCCACTGTCCACTGGCCTGACCCACTCCAGGGGCGGGACTTTCTGGGGGGCCTGTGACACTTCCTGCTAGAATGGGGGGGGGGTTGTGGCTGAGAAGGGGTCCTTGGGGAACCCCTGGATTGCAGGGGTCTTCCTGGACAACAGGCCTAGTGGTGGATCTGCCCTCCTTCTAGGGCTGGCCTCCGAGTGACAGTGTCTGCCTGGACACAGATGCCCAGCCCTGGGTCAGCTGCCCAGGTCAGCTCAGGTGGGGCCTTCAGGGGAGGTGTTGATTGGTTTGGCCTGGGCAACTGGCAGGCTAGCCAGGTCTCAGGGCAGCCAGGGTCACCCACTGACCCCCTGCTCGCCTCTGCCACCTGGCTTCCGGCTGGGCTGGGTGCCCAGGATGGTCAGCTCAGTGGGTACTGGAATGAGGCTGGGGGCTCAGGGTCCCCGGGCTCCATCAGGACCCCACAAGACCTGAATGTGGTACGGCCTTGTCCTCAGGGCACATGGCACAATTGAAGCGGCCATCCCGTTTTTGGCTAAAGGAGTCTGGTCGGTGAGCCTGGCTTCTGGGTCCTGGCCCTGCTCTGGGGCTCCACACAGCCCCCCAGCCCTGGGAGGAACTGGTTCTGTGGGGTCTGCCTCTCTGCTCTGGGACAACCTGGCTTCCTCATTCCCTGCAGGGCACTAGCTGGACCCGACAGGGCAGCCCTGCCCTAACCCACACTGACTTGGTCACAAATAGAATGTAGGGGTGGGAGGAAGCTCAAAAATGTTTTCTCTTATGTAAAACTAATGTTCTCCCATGTAAACTATCACATAATTCGCAGTAAAACATTTTTTTAAAATGTTTTCTCTTTTCTCAAAAATTCTGTGAGAGTCCAGGGTCCTAGAGCAGAGCCATCCAGGACCCTTGACAGCCCTTCTCTGGGAGCGTGAGGAGGGGGCTCTGTGACTGAAGAGTGACGGTGTTGAGGACCCCCTCAGTGTCTCTGTGTGCCCTGCCCACCTGCCCACCTGCCCGCCCTTCCCACACCTGAGCCGCACAGACAACAGACACACCGGAGCTGGTTCCGGCGTTTATTGGGTCTGGGGTCCATGTGGCCCTAGTTGCAGTAATTCTCCAGCTGGTACAGAGAGCAGACGCTGGTACAACACTGCTCCACGATGCCTCGCTGCTGCCTGGACCCCGCCACCTCGAAGGGCTGCAGGCCATCCGCGCCCAGCCCCACCTCCCCGGCTGTGGGAAGAGAGACAGAACCGAGGTCAGACGGAGGGGCACCCCCACACCTGCGCCTAGCATAGTCCTGGGCCCTACTTTTCTGCTCAGCTCCGGGGACAGGGGCCCCAGGGGTGGACATGGAGGCCTAAGAACCCTTAGTCCAGCTTTCTGCCACCACTGCCCCTGAGTCCCCAGGCAATGCCACAGCTGGGACCCCAGAAGGTGCCGACACGGGCCTCCCGATCACCTGGCACCAAACCTGCCAGCCATCCTTGGGACAGACCCCTTCCACAGAGACACAGAATAAATTAAACTAAAAGTTCTTGTGCTCAGTTGGTCCCCCTCTAGAACGATGCCACCCAATAGCCCCCTTATGACACCTAAGACCCCAGGCCACCAGGGTACCACCCCTCTCTGAAGCTGCTGCTGTCCTGGGCAGCACAGAGGACACTGGTTTGAGGGGTCACCCTCAGGGAGAGCAGCTGGATGGGAGGGGAGGGGAGCCAGGCTCTGAGAGCCACCGGCTATGGATGGTGTGGCCCTCAGTTCCCAACACGTCCACTCCAGGCTCTCAGCTCAGCCTGGAGGGAGTAACAAGGAGCTCTTCCCTTCTGGGCCAGATGCCCACCCTCGCCCCTCTGCCCTTGCCCAGGAAAAGATGCTGGTGTGGGGAGCTCACCTTGCGGATCCTCCACATCCCTGCGTGTCTTGGGGGTATAGAAGAAACCTCGCTCCCCGCACACCAGGTACAGCGCCTCCACCAGGTGGGAACCACACAGGTGCTGGTTGACAAAGGCCCTGGCAGGGGGTGGCACCCCAACGGCCAGCAGGGCCAGCAGTGGGAGAAGACGCATCCACAGAGCCATGACAAGAGCAGCGACCTGTGTACACTCCACCTGGAACAGCCAGCACTCAGCCCTGAGAGCCCCCGGAGAGGAGACCAGCCCCCTGTCCCCTTAGAAAGGGCCAGCCTGGACCCAGGACCCCCGGGAGAAGAGCCCAGCCCCTGCCCCCTTACCAAGGGCCAGCCTGGACCCAAGACCCAGGACCCCTGGAAGAGGAGCCCAGTCCCCTGCCCCTTACAAAGAACCAGCCTGGGGCCCAGGACCCACACAGACCTGCTTGCTGATAACTGCAGTTGCAGTAGTTTGGACAGCTGGGGCCTTCTGTATCCATTGGCTTTATAGCTCCTCTAAGCCCACCTTCCAGCCCATTAGGGCCTCAGGGGCATGGGTGGCAGATGGCCGGCCGGGGGCTGAGGTGGCACTTTCTGGTTCATTTCCCTGAAGTTGGACCTGTGGCCACGTCCCTGGTTGTCAGCACCTCTCCTTTGAAGGGTCATTAACGTCCTAATGAAGGACTTGATGGCCAAGCCTCCCTGACCCAGCGGGGGGCAAGACTTCAGCAGAGTAGATCCCCCAGTCTGCCCCCCACCAGGTTTCCACATCAATCTGGAGAGCTGAGTGGGGAGGGCCTTGCCCCTGGGATTCTGTGCCCCCAAGCCCCCAGTAGGGGGCCAGTGAAAAAGAGGAAGACCCCCAATGAGATGGACTGACACAGTGGCAGGTACAATGGGCTCAAAGAGGACAGTTGTGAGGATGGCATAGATCCGGGCAGGATTTCATTCTGCAGTGTAGAGGGTCATTAGGACTCGGAGGGGGCTTGGTGGTACCTAACAACAAGCTGTACCCCCCTAAAGTGAACACAGTGTCCCCTCTCAGGGCCATGGGGGAGGAGGCCAGGATAGCTTCTACAATTCCATCCCAGGACAGGGCTGTGGGACCCCTACAGGACGGCTCTGCTTCCCTTGGTCTGGTGTGTCATCTTTAAAGTGGGGGAGCATGACCCTCACTATGTAGTGGCCAAGACCAGACACCCTTAGATCTTAACCTGCCCCCCCACACAGATCCTATGTACTTCGCCCACCCCTGGGCAGCTTAGCTTTAGGGTGTCCTGGGATGTGCCCCTCAAGACAAACCCCTCACCCTATGGATGATGGCAGATTGAGCACAGCCCACCTCCATCCCCACCCCAGCTCCAAGAACCTGGAACAGGAAGCCATGTCTTGCTCCCATCCCAGACCGATAGGACTTTTTGTGCCTGTCTGTCCCTGCCACCCTGGTTTCCCACAGCCCACCAGCAGGAACCTGGCAGGATTCCTGGGGCTATGATTTTGTAAGGGAGCCCACCACACACAGGCCTCTGTGGAGGGGCCAGTAGTTCCCTGCAGACATCCCCACTGCCCAATGAGGGCTGTCCAGGAAAGGGTGGCGGGGGTGGGGAAGATTGGAGATGCTGCCCATCCCCAAGGTCTCCATGAGGTCAGAGTCCTTAGAAAGGGACCCCGGTTAGCACTTCCTGAGCTGCAGGGGCAAAAACACTGGACGGCTGACCACAGACTTGATGGAAGGGAGGGCTTTTACATTTAAGTAGGAGTTTGCCAGGATAAAACATGCCAAGGATTTAAGAGTCAGGAGCTTGTCAGCCTCTGTGTCAGCTGTAGACGCTTAGGAGAAGGGTGCCTTGCAAAGGGTCTCCAAGATCCAGAGTAAGCAGGTAGGGTAGAGGGTACCCAGACTGAGGGGGCTGGAATGGGCTGCGTTAAAAACATCCAGAGCCCACTGCCTTGCTGGGGAGACCAAAATCCATCACAGTTCACAGTCTTGCTTTCTTCAGAACACATTTTGAGGTGCATCTATAGGTTGCTTGTTGCCCCCAAATCTTGTTCCATGGCCAGGCTTTTATAGTGGGGGGAGGAGGCCAGAAGGGCCGGGACAGAAGGACAAGCTGTCCACCCTTCATGTCCCTATTCCTCTGAGTCTCTTGAAAGCCAGCATCCTGCCCTCTACCTATTGGGGCCTGGTGTGGAACACAGGACACAGCTGTAGCCTCCCTCAGCACAGGTTTATCCTGCCCCCAGGCCCACGTAGCTGACCCCAGAGAGATGGGTCACCCATCTCCAGCCTCCTCAAACATGGCAGAGCCCCTGGGGGGTCCGAGCTGGCAGAGTACTTTGGGCCAGAGCAGGGAGCGGGGACTCCACTTGACCTGGGCCTCCTCCCTCATGACAAATCAGGGAGGAGGCGGGGTACCCTGGAGGGACCAGCCCTTGGAGCCCCACCAGGCAGAAGAATCACCCCAAGAAGGCACACGAGAATGCTTTCTGCCTTTTATTGGGATTTGAGGGGCAGCCCCCACCACCCGGGCCCCATGGACAGTAGCACAGATGGACACCACACCTGGATGGACGGAGCTGAGAAGTGGGCGAGTAGGGGCGTAGGGGCCAGCAAGCGGTGGGGGTGGGGGTGGGGATAGCGCGATCTGGGGTGGGCCACGCAGGCCGGCAGAGTGAGGGTCTCCCGCGCCTAGCGGATGGTGCTCAGTGCGTTGCCCAGGGTCTGCAGCTCGTCCTGGACGGCCTCCAGCGAGCGCCGGATGGAGCGGGGGCTGTCCAGCACCTCGATGGACAGTGTGTACGGGTCAAATCGCACGGAGAAGGGGCGCTGGATGCGCGCGGCGTAGGTCCTGGGGAACGCCGGGGCTCAGACCTCCCCAGACCCATCTGCCAGCGCATCCCTGTCACTAACCACAGACGAGGTGGGAGACCGAGACCCACCCAGGCCCGGCACCGCCCCCCAGGTTCGGTTCCCCTCGCCTTCCTTCGCCATGAAGCCCACTTGACTGTCCCCTGGAGGGCCCCCAGGTCTGCCCCTGTCCCTAAGCTTCTGTGGGATCCAGCCCAGGCACCCGCGGGACTCCACAGGAACCTGGGCAGGCACCAAGGTGGCTGCCCCCTCGTGGTCACTACTGGTCACTACACCCCCGCAGCTGGTGGTTGTGTGCCGTGGAATCAGTCGGTTCCGACTCATAGTGACCCTGTACAGGGTTTCCGAGGCTGTAAATCTTTACGGGAACAGAAAGCCTCATCTTTCTCCCGCGGAAGAGCTGGTAGTTTCAAACTGCTGACTTTGAGGTTAGCAGCCTGACTCGTAATCACTACGTGACCAGAGCTGTCCCCTAGTTTCTGCTCCGTTACCAAGCCCTGACCACCTCTCCCACCTAAACCCCATCCTCCCCATCCCAACCAGGGAGCCGGAGGCTGAGGGGACCCCAGTGTCCTTAGAATCCTCCTCCTGGAAGCCTGGTCCGCCCCCAGTCCGCCTGTCCCCCCTCCCCAGACTTCTTGGGGGTTTTGCTCATGGGGGGGGGGGGTGTGTGGATGAAGCTGATGCAAAGGGCATTATAACGAGGGTCAGTCTCCTAAGTGGGGCTTGCAGTCCAGGCGGGCTCCCCCATTCCAGGGTGGGGGTCTCTACCTCAGCTTGTCGCGGGCATCGCAAAAGCTCTCAGACACGAAGTACACAGACTGGTAGGTCTGGTCCTGATAGGGCTGTACGGCTGCCTCGTCGGGGTCGAAGGGTCGCACCTCAGGCTCCTCCGACAAGGAGTGCTGTGGGGAACCCCGGTCACCCAAGGCCCCAGGGAGCAGGCGTTCTAGAGTGGGGAGCTGGTCTGGCCCCAGGTGACTGTCATCCTCCCAGACCCTCCACAGTCCGAGGACTGTGGGCAGCTTCATTCCCCACTCGGGATGCACCGGGTGCCAGGATAACAGGGCCGGCTGAGTCACCCTCCCTGCTGGGACCCCATGGGCTCACCAGGAGCTCCCCGTAGGAGGACAGCAGCCCCGCGCCATAAGCCTTTACTTCACCATTCTGTCTGCACAGCCCAAATTCCACCGTGAACCAGTATAGCTGGAGGTATGAGGAGGCTCAGTCACCCACGGACAACGACCGAGGCCCCTCTCCCCCAAACAGATGTGGCTCTCGGCCCGACGGAGTGCTCAGAACCCACCGTGGACAGCTTTTCAATCTCTTCATCTGATGCTCCCAGAGATGCAAGGCCAATGTCCTGGGGAGGAAAGATAAGGCTGAATCGGGAATGACAGGGTGCAGTGGGATGAAGCGGGGTGCTGGGATATCAGCAGCCCCCTCCAGGGGATCTCCTAGAAGCTGCCCAGGGTGCTCTGTACCGCCCTCACCCACACTCATCCCAACCAGCCATTCAGCACAGTGTAATGCTGTTCCGTGGGTGGCCAGAAGGTGGCAGCAGAGGCCGCGGGCGGTCAGTGCAGTCCCCAGGGTGGGGGAAAAAAGATGATTCCCTTTGCTTTTATGGACGTCCTGGTCCACAGGGGTCTCCCCTACTCCAGGGAGTCCGTGCCCTCGGTGCCGACAGAACTGAGGCAGCGGCCCCCTCACTTGGTGTCAGCCCCACCGTGTCCAGGGTTGACGCACCTGGGAGAACTGCGCGAAGGTCCTGTTGGCCAGCATGGGCACGTGCCCCAGGAGCTCGTGGCAGCAGTCCCTGCGGAGGGGAGGAGGAGGGATGGGGGGATCGCAGACCCCCAAACTCTGTCTGCACCTCCCCCTTCCCCGGGGACCCGGTGGCGAGGCACTCACGGCTCGGGGGAGTGCATGGGCGAGGACGCGTGGCGGATGTATTGGGTGCACTGGAACACACGGAAGGCCAGGCTGGCCAGGAAGTCCCGAGCAGACAGCAGGCCGGCTACGGGCCGGAGCTGGAAGCCTGTCCGCTCTGCAACGGGTCACACATGGTGGTCAGGGGAGACGTGGGTCTGGGGGTGATGAGCTAGGTGTCTGGGGGTGGGTAGGTAGGGATGGCCTAGGGTGGCGTGGCCCTTCGGCCATACGATGGGAGTCTTCTGGGGTGGGGGAGACTCAGGCAGACAGTGGGCACACCCTTCAGGAATCGAGACACGTCCTCCAGCTGAGGAATGTTATCCTCACGGTAGCCACTGAAGCGCTCCAGCAGTTCAAATGCGTCCAGGTGCTCACGGCAGGCGTGGGTGGCATAGAGCCCCTTCAGTGTGGTGTAGACCTCCTTCCTGTAGGGGAGGGGCTCAGGCCTCTACAGCTCCTGGCCCCTCCCGCCAGCTCTAGAGCCCTTCCCTCACCCTGTCTGGGCCCACACACGCCCTCCACGACCCTAAGAGCCTTTGCCGGAAGCCTGGGGGACCCCAAGGGATGGGAAGTCATGGGAGGGGCTGACCCTGGGCTCCCTGGGGTTGACCCAAGATGGGGGGCAGCTTCTGCCTCCAGGGTTCAGCAAGTCCCTCCATCCGACCCCAGCTTCACCCCGTTACTGGGTCTCACCACGTGGCCACTTCCTCAGCTGTGTACTCCACTCGAGGAATCGGGTCGCCACTGGGGGAAGGGGTCGTGGTCAGCCTTTGCCCCCCTTACCCCCGGGGAAGGCAGGGTAGGTAGGAGGCTGCCTCAGAACTTTACCATGACCTGGCTGGTCAGCTTCAGAAGTCACTTGACCTCTCTGTGCCTCAGTTTCCTCAACTATGACTTAGGGACACTGTCAACACCCCTGCCCCTAAGTTCTTATAGAAAAGGGACAAGATGAGGAAGATGGCCTCCCCCTTGCTCTCATCCCCTCTTCCTGCCCAGCGGGCAGGTGTCCTTACTGCCGGTACTGGAAGGCTATATCGGCGATCAGCTTCCTGCGTTGCCTGTAAGCCTGATCCGAGAAACCCTGTGGACACACAGACAGCTGTCAGGGGCTCCCTGACCGCCCCCCCCCAGGCCCTGACCCCCAGCTCCCCGTTACTGGTACAGGCTGGATGCCTCAGCTGGTCTCAGTGGTTCCTTTGGTGCACCAGGCAGGAGACCAACCAACCTCCTCCTGGAAGCGAGGGCCAGCTGGGGTCCACGCCCATCCTACCACTCACAGACATAGGACCCCCCAGTGGGGGCAGGAGACCTGGGGAATCACTCACTGGGTGGTCCAAGTCCAGGTCTGGGTCAAACTTAGTGACCAGGTGGTGGCATTGATCCAGTTCAGAGACTTTCTTGGGGAACCAGGGAACTGCAGGGAAGCAGAGACAGAGGTAGGGTGAGTGTGGAGCCTGGCTCTCCATGGGGTCCCCTGGAGCCCTGTCCTGGAAGGAGTTTCTGCCCTTGGTCCCAAGGCCTCACCCTTGTCCTCTCTGACGCCCCGCAGGTCCTCGGACACCCGGCGCACAGAGCTGAGCAGTGTGGCCAGATTGGCACTGGGCACCTCACAGCGGACGAAGTACTCCAGGTGGGGGCTCCCACCCCAAGGCCTGGTGGCTGGCCGAGTCTCCAGGTGATGGATTTTGGCTTCAAAAGTCTTAGGAGGCAGGGCAGGAGAGAAGGGTCTCTGCTCAGCCCAGCCGGCCACACTAAGACCCTCTCGCAGTCCTCACCCACTGCCCTGCCAGCCCCAGTGGGAGGACTGATCCCATAAGAGACCACCATAGAGGCCTCACTGCCTTTCTGGGCAGACCAAGCCCTGAAATGTCCTTCTATCCCTGGTGGTTTCATGCAGGCTCCCCCCCCGGCCATGAGCAGTCTGGGGGGACACCCAGAGCAGCTGCTGTGTGCCCCTGTGTCCCCCACCGCCTGTCACACGGCAGCAGGGCGCCGCCGTGGCTACAACCCCTCGGACAAACAGCCATGTGCTGAGCAGCCACAAGTCCGGTTCTAATGTCATTTGGGACCTTCTGCTGAGAGTCAGGTCTCCGGCTGCCCAGTCCAGTGACCACAGCAGCTAATGCAATAGACAGTCACATTGGCCCTGGACCCGGCCAGGGTGGGGGGAGGGCACACAGGCCCCTGCTGTGCTGCCCAGGCTGGGCCCACCTGTTCCCCATATCATGTGATAGGCAGAGGGGCCAATGAGCAAGCCTGGGACATAGGCTCAGGACTGGGTTCAGGGGTGGTGATGGGTCCCTGGGTTATCCATAGTCCCCGGTGTGTAAACCTCAGTCCTTGTATATTTGAACTGAGGATCCTAGGAACTGCTCATGGCTTGGGCAGCTACACTACCCTTGGGGACACACATATGTCTGTAGGTGCATGTGTGCATGCATGTCCACACACCAATACGCACATGTGTACCTATGTGTGTGTGTGTGTGTGCATGTTTGCAGAGTACCTATGCATGTGGTTGTGGGCAAGTATGCTGTGTGCATATGTGTGTATAATGACATGTATAATATGCAGCACTATGGAGAATTACACGTGCATGTGTGCTGTGTGTGTGTACACACGCATGTTGTGTGTTGACTGTATATGTGTGCACATGTTGTTAAATGCCGCCAAGTCAGTCCCTTGTATAGGGTTTTGGAGGAGCAGCTGGTGGGTTTGTACCCCCAATCTGTGTCTCATAGTCCAGTGCTGACCCTACAGCTCACCAGATGGCTATGTATACACACACCTGTATGTGTGTATATACATGTGTGATATGTGCCCTTGCTGGTGTATGCATGGTACTGTAGGTGTGTGGACATATCACAGATGTGCACATATGCAGTGCATGTATGGTGTGTTTACATTCATATGCATGCATGGCACTGTACATGTGTGTACACGTGCTAGCATGCACCATTTGTGTGCACATGTGTGTGTGGTGTGTGTGCATATGTGCACATGTGTGGACAGTGTCCATGTTCATGCACATGTGTGTTGTGTGTTGTGTGTGTGTGAGTGCAGACGCTGTCTTCAGACCTCACCTCAAACACCTTCACCACATGTGACAGGGGTGCCGGCTTGGTGTTCCGCAGGGAGAAGAGCAGGTTCAGCAGGGCCCGGCCGTCCTTCTCCTGAAAGGGCACAGTCTCCAGGGCCTCACCGGGTTCCGAACAGGATGCTGCCGCTGCAGCTGCCGCCGCCACCACCGCCGCCTCCCTCTCCTTGCGAGCATCCTCAATCAGACTCTGCCGCCGGCCGATGAACCGTGGGGACTGTGGGGACAGGTACCAGCTCATGGTCACTCACCAGAGCTCATCCCTGGAAACCACTGATGGCCACAGGGGGTCTGCACACAGGACACCCAAGGGACACATAGGGATGCCCAGCCTAGCTCTCATTGCAAGCTGTCTCCTGTAGTGTGGCACTGAAGGGTCAGCAAGATGGCGGTTCAAACCCACCGACTACTCCTCGGAAATCCTATACAGGGTCGTTAGAGTCAGAACTGACTCAACAGCACTTAACCAGAAAACAACGGAATTGTGCTCTGGGCTCCTGGTCTGCAGACACAGAAGCTGAGACCCGTGGGGCCTATGCTGGCTGCATGCTCCCTACGGTGTCACCTCTGTCCCCAGGCCTGGCCCTAACTGGATTAGATGGCAGGAAGAGTGACTCAGGGCTGTGTCTCCCTCCACCCCCAAGGTGGATAGCAGCCAGCCCCAGGGGAGGGTCAGGGACCAGGCCAGGCTCATCCCAAGTCCCACTCCCGCCCTACCCCAGGGCCCTTCCTCAACCAGGCCTTGGAGGTATGACCCTTCCAACACCCAGAGCTGAAGGGTGAGGCTAAGCCTCAGCCACCACTGACCCATGCCACCCTTCTACATGTCCTATCCCCCCAGGGCTGTGTGTCACTCCTCTGCCCCCCATCAAAGCTCTGGTCACAGGGTGTCATGTGTCTGTCCCTGAGTCCTGCTGAGCTGAGACCCCACCCCGCTGGCACACACAAGTCTCAGTTCCTGCTGGTCCCTCTGCGTGAAGGAAGACTGAGCTCCCTCCTTCGGCCTTTGGGACCATGGGCATTAGGGCTAAAGGAGTGGAAAAGCCCAGAGTCCGGCTTTACCTGGGGAGTGGACACAGCCAGGAGGTCTGGGAGACAGGGTAGGAAGGGACCCCATGGGGAGGGCATCATATTGGAAACCAAGGGTTTGAAGAAATAAAATATCTCTAACCATCAAAAGCCCATTCCACATGTTCTGGGAGCTGACGATTCTGTCTCTGGGGGTGAACAGGGACTTTTCCCTCCTCACAGCTAAGGAGGGCTCCTGAGTCTAATCAACCAAAGGGGCCAACTTGGTGGGCACGGCACAGCCCCTTGTTCTGAGGGTATCAGTGAGGCCATGGGTAGCAGGACACGAGAGGTGGGGTGCAAACAGAGACACATACAGAGCATGTGGATGAGCATGGAAGAGTGGGTGGGTGAGTGGGAGAGTGGGTGGGTAGATGAGTAGATGCGTAGGAAGGTGGAGGCGTAGATGGCTGAGTGGATGGATGCATGGGTGGGTGGATGGATATACTTGTGGGTGAATGAGTGGGTGGATGGAACGGTGGGAGGGTCGATGAGTGGATGGGTAGGAGGGTGGAGGGGTGGAGGGGCGATGTATGTAAATTTGTTGTTGTTGTTGTTGTCAGGTGCCATCGAGTCAGAACCGACTCATAGCGACCCCATGCACAGCAGAATGAAACAATGCTCGATCCTGGGCCAACCTCACTACCGCTGCCACACCCGACGCCATCAATGATGCCACCTGGCTGATCCATCTCGTTGGAGGTCTTCCTCTTTTTCTCTGACCCTCCACCCTATGTAAATAAGCTTATACATATGGATGTATGTATAGATGGGTGAGTATGTGGGTGGGTGGGTGAGTATATGTATGTATATGTGATGAATGGATGGAGGGATGGGTGGGTAAGTGTATGTAAGTGTGGATGGATGGATGGAAGGATGGATGGGTGTATGTAAGTGTGGGTGGGTGGGTAGGTGGGTGGAAGGGACCTCCCGAAAGACCCCACCCTCAGCCTCATCAGGGCCTGGACTGCTGCCTCCCTAGACAGGCACGTCCCCACCCAGTTGCTGACCAGGGCAGTGGGGACAGTCAGGAAGAAGGCCAGAGGAGAGTCTTGTGACCGTGGCCTGTCTTGCTCCCGGGGGGGGGATCCCTTCTCAAGCCTTCAGGAAGGTGAACCCTTCTGAGTCCTGTTTCCAAGTTTCAGAAGGAAACTCATCTTCCCCAAGACAAGCCAAGATACAGACAAACCCCAACAGCCCTGAGAGGGACAAGCACACGAGACATACACACACAGACTCAGGGTCCAGTTTCATGCACCCCAAGAGGAAGCCAGGGACACTGCTTCCTAACATAGGGGCTCTAAGACCCCACGCTGCCCCAGGTCCAGAGCTGGTGTGGACGCTGAGCCCGGGAGGGACCCAGGCACCTGACCCTGCTCGACTGCTCTGGTGCCCACATACCCTCTTACCATGATGGCCTCTGCCTGTTTGGCATCCAGCTCGGACACTGCCCGTCGGAAGCCCTTAGCCTGCGGTGAGGCGGCGTTGGGGGTAGGCATGGCTGCGAAGTCCTGCTCCAACTCCGCAGCCCTCTGCCCACAGCCTCTTATAGGCAGAGCTGACGTCAGAGCCCCTGTGGGCCCCCTCCCTGCATCCCCCTCTGCCTCCGCTCCCTGCTGCTGCGCCCAAGGGCAGCGGGGTGGGCACGCGGGAGGCGGCAGAGGGAGGGCTCTGTCCCATTAAATCTAATTGCATCCTCAGTACAGACACCAGGCGGGTCGCAGTGGCCTGTGAGTCACACTCATGAGCCGAGGGCAAGGGGCTTCTCACGTTCTGCAGGAGAGGGGCAGTGGGGGTCCATGCCCTCACACAGGGGGCCTGGGTGCATGGTCAGGGGCTAGTGCAGCTGACCCTGGACCCTCAAGTCAATGGCCCAGAACAAAGGTACCTAGGCTCAAACCCGGAACCCATCCTCTGGTGAGTCTTGTTCAGAAGACTGTTGATCTCAAGTGTCCCCATAGGGTCCCACCAGCAGGCTGATACCTTCAGCAGGGGTGTCTCTCACTGCCTACTCCCTCCACACCTTCTACACTGAGCACTTGTACCCAGATTCCAAGGCACATTCAGTAGGACCCAGAAAGTTCCAGAAGGAGCCTGCACACTGGAGTCCAGTGTAAAGGACAGGCCGGGGGTTCGGGAGAAGGGCCATGGTTTCACTCTGAGATCTCCCCACCCAGATGAAATGGGGGTGGGTGCTGGGCTCTGCCCCCCCCCCCACCACCACCAGGGAGAGTTCTCTGTTGTGGGACCAGTTAGCGCAGCCTCAGGGCAGAAACCCTGAAAACAGAGTAGGGATCAAAGGGAGACATGGTGCCCTGGTACAGAGCATCGGGCACCCCCAAATCCACCAGCTTCATGCTGCTCTTCACCAGCAGCACCCCAACTTTCCTTCATCCACTGCACCCTTCCTCACTGGCCAGTCCTTCTCAAACACCTCTTGGACCCCCTGAGATTTGTCTTCCCCCGCTATGGTCCTCCAGGGGTAGCAGACTGCAGGAACCCCCAAACTGAAGCTATGTTCCAGCCCCCTGCACCCCTTGAAGTTCCAAGAGTCTCTCACTTTGCCCCTCCAGGGTGGGCTTCTGGGGACCCCTTAGGGACAGAGATCCAGCCTTGCCCCCAGCCAGCTCTGCTTGTTTGTTCAGAGATGGGGGGCAGGAAGGGGAGTCTCACAATAGATGTGGACTTAACCTTTCAGCAAATGTTTCCACCGACACAGATATTGGATTTTAATTCGTGGCCTACCTGAGCCGGGAGCGCTGTGTAAGGAGCTAAGCCTCTCAGTTCCCCTTGGAGGCGGCTCTGGGGACCCCAGGCCCAGTCAGTTTCCCCCTGCAGGAAGCCCGGGAAACAGCAATGAGGGGGACAGTGGGCTGGGGACCCAGGGCTGGGGACCCAGGGCTGGGCAGGGTTCTCTGGGGGCCAAGGTCAGGGATGATGGGGAGCAGAGTCCTCCAAGCCAGGAGAGTGGTTTTCAGGGAATGTTAGAGGCGGGCACTGGTGAAGGGGGGACAAGCACCTGCCCAGGACCACGAGAGTTCCACTCTGAGCGACCTGGAAGCCTTTAGCACCTACTCCCTGAACCCAGGTTCTGCCCCTCGCACTATAGTCTCTCCCCTCCCAACATTCAAATAATTCCAGGCACCCCCCATCTGCTGAATGGTGCTCCAAGATTTACCATCTTCTTGTGTGGAGCAGGAAAGCGCAGGGTTTAACAGGCCACGGTGACAACAGGCTTCCGTATCCACACTGCAGCAAGGAGCAGGCTTGTGACTCGCCTGGTCTCCATGTGTGCCTGGGGGCACCCCTCCTGCCCTCCTCAGGCCCTCAAGTCAATGGCCCGGAACAGAGGTGCCTAGTGGAGGGAGACAGAGCACCACATCCTGGTCTCAGAGTGGCCCAAGGGGTGACAAGCCTCAGGTGCACCTCCCCTCCCCCCCAGTCCTGGCAGTCCCCAGTCTAAGTGGGTATGTGGGCTGATGGGTGCATGGTGGGTGGGGAGTGAGTATATGGTTGAGTAAGTGGGTGGGCATGCTCCCCAGAAACCCAGGGTCAGTGGTTACTTCCAGTAGCTTTCAGCAGCAAATGATCCAAGTTAGCCAGCAGTGCCTGATCCCTCATGTGGTCACCTGTGTGGTACCCACACTCACACAGAACTGCTCTCACACACAGTCGCACACAGACATGTACATACAACCACACTACACAGAACTGCTCACACACACGGTCACACACAGACAGAACTGCTCACATACACAGTCACACACACACAGAACTGCTCACACACATGGTCACACACAGAACTGCTCACACACACGGTCACACTCACACAGAACTGCTCACACACACGTTCACACACACACAGAACTGCTCACACACACGGTCACACTCACACAGAACTGCTCACACACACACGGTCACACTCACACAGAACTGCTCATACACACAGTCACACACACACACAGAGAACTGCTCACACACGGTCACACACAGACATGCTCACACATCCTTATCCACACACAGAGACATGCTCACACATACAAACCCACACGTACACAGGCACTCACACACAGAGACACGCTCACATGCACAGAGTGTCATGCAGAGACATGCTAACCTCACACATACACACACATGGTCAAACACACACTAGAGCCCCTCGTCCCTGGGTGGTACTTGTCCCTCTGACCATGTCCTGGAGGCCACAGTGCCCTGAGAAGGTGGGGACAGCAAGGCCTTCATCCTGTCCCTGTAGAGTGCACAAGCCCAACAGACTTGGGGGGCATAGTGGAGGGAGTCTTAGGGCCCCCCCCCGCCCCCCAGCCTTAACCTGCCTGCAGGCTCCAGGTGCTTGGGGACAGACAGGGAGGAAGAGAGCCTGTCACTGTCAGCACTAAATGTCAGAGCAATTAGCCCTAACGAGGCCATCTGATGGTGTTGAGCAGCCAGGCAGCCAAGGGGGGCGCAGAGAAGTATCTACAAGGTGGGATCTAGTTCTGCCTCCCGGTCGATGGGATGCACTTAGAGATAATTGGGCAATTTGAAGTCAGTCAAAGGGGCTCAAGCTGCTGGCTGACAGGATGTGGGAGATATGGGGTGGGGCCAGTGGGCAGGTCACCATGGTCTTCACACCCGAACAACCCCCAACACTCCCATGACCCATGTCCCCTGCTCCTGCTGACCCCTTCTCCTAACCACATCCTGGTCAGACCCTCAGGCTCAGGGGCCTCTGCCTCCTACAGGCAAACCACCCTGTTGGCTTCTTCTGCGGTCTTTCTGGGCTGGATGGAAGCTGATGTCTGTCCCTATGCACAGTGCTGGCATGGGGTGGGGGGAAAGGCCAGGGCTCAGCCCCAGGGTCTGTCACCCTCCCACTCCCCTGCCCCATACACCTAGAGTGGGGGCGTCAGACACTCAGGCCTCAGCCTTCAAACCCCACAGGCTAGGGGCATCACAGCTCCCATAACTCAACCTCAGTCTGTTCACCAAGGCCCATCCCAGGAAGCTGGTGGAGGAGAGTCCATCTGGATCCAGGTCAATCTCTGGACCCGGACAGGAATCCCATCTCAGGCTGGGCCTGAGGTGCTGGGCAGGGTGCACTGCACTGGAAGATGACCCCCACAAAGAGGAGGTTCCACACTCCGGGAGCAGCCATGGAACCACACCTGCTTCTCAGAAGGCCGTCTTCCAGGTGAGGGGAGCCAGGTGGACAGCGGCAGGGAGGGATGGAGGGACAGGTTACAGGAAGCCAGCCAGAGATCACCATAACTCTGCTATCCACACACCAACCTGAGGGGAAGAGGCGCCTCTAAGCTTACTGAGCACCCCACATTTTTTGGTATCGGGTATACCCCTTGCATGTCTTCAATTCAGGACTGAGGGTGGCTTGGAAGTGTGGCACCTGCATTTCGTTGGTTCCCCAGCATCACTGGAAGACCACACGGCAGACATGGGGACGCTAGGATCAAGAACAGCACCCTTAGTTGTGCATAGTTAGTGTCTGCTCACAATTTCACTTGGGGTGTGTGCGTGTGTGAAGTGCATGTGTGAGTGTGTGCATGCATTCATGAGTCTATATGCATGCATGCTTCTTCATGTGTGCATTTGTGTGTCTGTATTCATGTGTGTGCTTGTGTGAGTGTGCATGTGAGTGGACTGAATGTATGTGCTTTGTGCACATGCTTGTGCACGTGTGTGCGTGGTCATGTGTGCACTCATGCATCTGTATGCATGTGTGCTGGTGAGCTGTGGGTGTGTGCACATGCTTGTACATGTGTGCACTCATATGTCTGTGCATGTATGTTTGTGCAAGTGACTTATGTGCATACATACTTGTGCAAATGTATGGGATGTTTATGTATTCATGCATTCATGTGTGCCTGCATACATGTATGTGCAGGTGCGCATGCAAGTGCACATGCATGTATGTTATGTGTGTCATGTACATATGTTCATGTGCAACAATGTGCACAGGTATCTGTGCATGTTTGCACATGTGTGCACTCTGTATGTGTGTGTGTACACAGATACAGTGATAAGCAGGGTGACTTCCTGACCCCTGTGTTCTCTCCAGATACATCACAGTGTCACAGCCAAGACCTCTAGATGGCCATGATCCCACCAGGCCACTCTCAGTGCCTATGGTCTCCCTCCAGACTCCCCTCCTCATTTTGGGCCAGTGACTCACTCTGAGTGCTGTGCCCCCCACCCCAGCACACCTTCCACTGTTTCTGACAAATCAGCTAGATGAAAAGCAGTGAGAGAGACGTTCACTTCTTGTTAGTCACTCATGGGCTGGCGGTGGCAGCTGTATTTTGACAGCAATCATGTCTAATTACAGGACCACTGTCCCCTCCAGCGGTCTGCACCGTGCTATGGGTCCAGATCCCCGTCACCTACCCACGCGTGGAGCCTGAAGGAGCCCAGGGCTTCTGGTGACCAGGACCGCCTTGTGTCACGCCCCATCATCGCCTTGGGTTCCTGCTGACACAAAGGTGCT